TAATGGTGCTGCAAGTTTTGCTTCACATAGATTTTTAAAAATAGCATTCATTTTGTTCTACTTTTGGGGGGAAGGGAAAGGGAGAGCTGAAATCTGGAGTCAGATACTTAATCGACTGAGCCACCCAGGCACCCCTGTTCTACTTTTTAAAGAAAGGCTATGTAAGAAACTAGTAATATTCGTTGTTCCGAAAGGGAACAAAAATGGGTGTCTGAAGGAAAGACACCTTTCACTGTATTCCCTTTTTTATCTTTGAAATTTTGAGCCAAATATTACCTACTTGAAAAAGATAAAGTTATTAAAAATAATTTTAAAATAGTGTCTGATTATCAAAAAAATTAAGGACAAAAAACAATATGAAAATGACTTCTAATCCTGACATTCAGCTATTAACTAATTCATTCAACAAATATTGTTGAGTGTTTACTACGTAGCTATCACAGTGTAGGCAGGCACTCGACGTTGACAATTTAATATACAGAATTTCCTTCCCATATATTTTTGTATATAGGTATCTGAGAACAATTCTATCAAGGATTACTAATTTTGTGAGATTCTGAACTTGTAATGCAATCATGCCACTTCCATGCTTTTTTCTTTGTTTTCTAGAGCATGCATTGAAATTATACAGACTCTGGGACTGATGTTCAGAGAAACAGAAACTGAGTCATCGCGCCTGAACACATTGGCAGCTAAGAAGTAAGGTCTTCTAGAAGAAGACATTGGGACCTTGTAGTTGCAACCCAAGACTACTCTATTGAGTGTCTTCCAAAACTCATAGCTCTCTTACTTCTCTGTTCAATCCCCTTGGAGATATCTTAAACTCTTTCTCTCCACTTCTTTCTGGATGAGCAGATTGATTGGCACATAGGGAGTTCTGTCTCTCTGGATTTTTAAGGGCACAAAGATCTTCTTAGCATGTTATCTTCTGTCATTGGTGAACTTGAAAAGCACCAAATGCCCCGTTAAGACATTGAAAGCCAGGGTTCTCTACTAGAATTTTACAGAGTACCCTTATACCCACATAACAGAAAGTTTACATTGCAAAGGCAGGAATTATAGTAGTTTCATTTAATATATAATTGTGTGACTTTGAAGTGAATGCTAGTGGGGGGTTTATCAACATATAAAGTAAGCTGCTATAATAAAGATATGCTAAAATATATGGCCTACAGAAGATAGAAATTTACATCTTTTTTACATATTTGTCCAGAGTAGATAGCCACGCTTTCTTCCACAAAATCAGCCAGAGACTGGGATCCCTGGGTGGCGCAGCGGTTTAGTGCCTGCCTTTGGCCCAGGGCGCGATCCTGGAGACCCAGGATCAAATCCCACGTCGGGCTCCCAGTGCATGGAGCCTGCTTCTCCCTCTGCCTGTGTCTCTGCCTCTCTCTCTCTCTCTCTGTGACTATCATAAATACATAAAAAAAATTTAAAAAAAAAATCAGCCAGAGACCTAGGTTCCTTCCCTTTTGTTGCTCTGACATCTTTTACTATGCTATCCCTTCCCCATGGTTGAAGCAGACTGACCTTTGTGACTTCATTAAATCCTGTGGGATGCAGGAAGAGAAGGAGAAGGAAGCAAATTTCCTTTTTAAGAGAGGCATATAAGACTTTTCTGCTCATATTCCTTTGATGAGAACTTTAGGCATATGCCCATATATAGCTGCAAGAGAAGTTAAATGTGTCTGTAGTTGCATGGTTCTATACCTAGCTAAACTTTGGATGGTGATAGGAACACCTGTTACTAAAAGGAAGAATGAAAGAATGTATAGTAGGAGGACAATAGCATTCTTTGCCACAGGAAGTATGTGTTTGCATATTTTACATGACCTTTTTATATGATTTATGGACTATGAATTACATCCTGGGCCAGTGTTCTGACTATAATCTTAATCCCCACCCCCCCACCAACTGTTTATCTAAATTTTCTGTATTAGGGGCACCTGGCTGGCTCAATTAAGCAGCTGCCTTCAGGTCATGTCACGATCCCAGGATTCTGGGACTAAGCCCCGTGTTGGGCTCCCTGCTCACAGGAGAGCCCGCTTCTCTCTTTCTCTCTGTTGCTCCCCCTACTTGTGCTCTCTCTCTTTCTGTCAAATAAATAAATAAAATCTTTAAAAAAAGAAAATAAATTTTCTGCATTAAAGGTGGAAGGAAAATGAAGGCCATAGGCTCTAAAACATTTGAGCTAGGGAGAAGAATAAGAACTTTTAGTAATGTTTGTCCTGGCTTTTTATTAGATAACTTTACAAGTGAATTTCAATGATAATTGCTATGTGCCAGGGACTATGGGCATACTATGCTATATACCAGGAGGGTCAGACATTTCTATAAAGGGCCACAAACATTTTTGACTTTTCAGGCCATATAGTCTCTGTTGCAGCTACTCAACTTTGCCACTGCAGCATAAAAACAGTCACAGACAATTTATAAATCAATGGGAACAGCTCTGTTCCAACAAAGATTTATTTATAAAAAAGGACTCTGGGCTATTTGGCCTACAGGCCATAGTTTGTTGACCTCTGCTTTACAGCAAACAAGGAAGATACGCTCTATTATTTTCTCTGAATACTTTTTTCTTTTTTAAATATTTTATTTTTTTAAAGTAATCTCAACACTCAGAGTGGGGTTTGAACTTATAACCCTGCAATCAAGAGTTGCATGCTCTACCGACTGAGCCAATCAGATGCCTCCTCTGCATACTTCTTTATGCTATTTCCTCAATCTCCACAACAGAAATTCAAGATTACTTCTTATATTTCTATCTTACTATACTGAATTAATGCTGAATCATATTACCCTTTTTGTCTACCATTAAGTCCCTACCTCTCTCTATCTGAGCTGAGAAACCACCATTCTTACTAAACTCTGCTGTTTTAATTATTCTGTCTTAACTTGGTTTGGCCACAACAGCTCTACGATAGCCTCTTTCCTTCCTGATATGACTAGCTCTTTTCATATATTTCAATGCATATGTTATATTGCTGTAACAGAGTCTGGGTGTAATATATTCAGCCAATTTTGATATGCATAGTGTCCAGTCATGTTACCCGTAGCCTTAACTAGCACAGTTAATGTCTAATATAACTGCATTAGTCTTCTATTACCCTGTAACAAATTACTACAAACTCAGGGGCTTAAAACAATACAAATTGTTTATCCCACAGTTTCTGTGGATCAGGCAATCTGGGCATAGCTCAGCTGGATCATCTTGCTCTGGTTTTCACAAATGGTGGTCAAGGTGTCGACTGGGTTTGCGTCTCATCTGAGGCTTGAGGGTCATCTTCCAAGCTCATTTGGGTTTTTTTTGGCAGAATTAATTTCTTCATAGCTATAAACTCATGATAGCCTGCTTTTTGGCAGGAGACTATCTCTGAGCTCAGAAAAGGCCTAAGCATTCTTTGAAGAGCTCAATTGGATAATCAGGCTCACCCAGGATAATCTCCCTTTGATTAACTCAAAAGTCAACAAATTAGGAACGTTAATTATATATGCAACATCTCCTTACCTTTCTCATCTAACATAACATGATCACGAAAGTAATAGCCTCATATATTCACAGGTCCTGCTCATACTTAAAGGAAAGGGATTATATAGGGTATATATACCAGGGGGCAAAAATCTTGGGGCCATATTAGAATTCTGCATATCAAAATAACAAAGACCAAGTTATGAGACCATGAGTTTGCCTTTCAAAGTCTCTATATATTAGAAAATATTTTGCAATGCATTCAAAATTCTCCCATTGGAAATGACAATCTAAACAATGAAAGTATCAAAACTGTTGACACTATTTTTTAAGGCTGTGATGTCAATCCTATAGTAAGTCTTTTATTTTGGGGATGAAACTACCATTTTGATTAAAATTTCTTCTATCTGTTATTGACCCAGTGGATTTTAAATAGTGTTGGCAGAAGGAGTAGATTTAAAATTAAATTCCATGTGAGCAAATAAAAAAGCATTTAATCACTTCAGCATTTCCCTCTTTTTTCATAAGTAGAGATTTTATTAGCTCAGCTCAGTTCATTGTGTTCTTCCTGAAATGTGCCATAAACCCATTCATATTTTAATACTCATATGGTTGAATTCATGTATCATCACAGCAAGTGTCCCAGAATTTGAGAGTTCCTTCCCTTAACTCTGGATTATATGATAACTCTGCAAAGAAGCTGTTGCTGAAAATAAAGGACCTTAATTAAATAGAACAGTAGTAAAAATGCAATGTCATTTCAAACTTAGTATCAGGAAAAGCTTCTTAATGGAATGTTTTTGTTGATTTTGGAAGGGTCTTTTAAAGTGAGATTGGCTATTTTAAAGTAGCCTGAATAAAACATTAACAAATATCCTGTAGGACATATCCTGCTTTTTTGAGAAGTGTGATGACATGATTCTTCTTTTGCAGATATGAGAACTGACTTGCTTTTTCAGTTGGAGAAAGGAAGGGATTTTATTTTTTATTTATTTATTTATTTATTTTTATATAAATTTTTTTAAATTTTTATTTATTTATGATAGTCACAGAGAGAGAGAGAGAGGCGCAGAGACATAGGCAGAGGGAGAAGCAGGCTCCATGCACCGGGAGCCCGATGTGGGATTTGATCCTGGGTCTCCAGGATCGCGCCCTGGGCCAAAGGCAGGCGCCAAACCGCTGCGCCACCCAGGGATCCCTATTTATTTTTTTTTAATTTTTTTAAATTTTTATTTATTTATGATAGTCACATAGAATGAGAGAGAGGGGCAGAGACACAGGCAGAGGGAGAAGCAGGCTCCATGCACCGGGAGTCCAACGTGGGACTCGATCCCGGGTCGCCAGGATCGCGCCCTGGGCCAAAGGCAGGCACTAAACCACTGCGCCACCCAGGGATCCCAGGGATTTTATTTTTATTAAAATTTTGGTTAATCATGAGCTTTAAAAAAATTTTATTTATTTATTTATTTATTTATTTAATCATGAACTTCTAATCATGGTAATGATTTAAGTGATTGTAAAAAGATTAGGAAGTCTCAATTATTACTAAATAGGGATTGTTTGTAGTTTCTTTTATTCCATTATGAAGAGAATGCTAATGGTTATAGAGGATTTATATATAGTCCTATCTATAAATTCTTTTACTATTCCCATCTGTCAAAGCTACTCTGATACTATCTTTGGTTAGGCAACGGATTTTCCTAGTGGTCCGCCTTCAGCTCCTTTACAACTATACATAGATTGCATGACAAATATGAAGATGGTGTTGCCAAACCCTATTCCTCAGGATCCTTAATTTGGAGTGTGATTTTTTTCTCTTTATTTTCAAGTAAATAGGGTATATTATTCAAACATATAGTAACAATTTATTTTTTTATAGTAACAATTTAAATGAGTTATTAGTGTAGGTTAATGGGTAGTACACTGGTTTTGAAAGCAAAAGACTTAAAGTAATATTAGTTTTATTAACTAATAGCTAGTAGTCTTCAGTGGAACAGAAAACCTCTCAAATGCTTTGTTAAAAAAAGAGTTCCATTCTCTTTTTTTTTTTCTTTTTTGCACTGCTGTTGAGAATATAAATTGGTGCGACCACTCTGGAAAACAGTATGGAGGTTCTTCAAAAAACTAAAAATATAAGTACCATATCCAGTAATTCTATTTCTGGATAGTCATCCAAAGAAAATAAAAACACTAATCTAAAAAATTATATGCAGTCCTATGTTTACTGCAACATTATTTACAATAGCCAAGATATGGAAGCCACCTAAATATCCACTGATAGATGAATGGATAAAAAAGATATTGTGTATATGCACAATAGAATATTACTTAGCTATAACATAGAATAAAATCTTGCTATTTGTGACAATATGGATGGGCTTAGAGGGTATTATCCTAAGAGAAGTAAGTCAAAGACAAATACCATATGATTTCACTTATATGTGGAATCTAAAAAACAAAGCAAAAAAATAACAACAAAAGGAGAAACTGACTCATAAATACGGAGAACAAACAAGTGATTGCCCAATGGCAGGGGGATGAGGGGATGGGAAAAAAAGGTAAAAGGGGATTAAGAGGTACAAATTTCCATATAAAATAAGAAAGTCATGGGGATGAAAAGTATGGGATAGGGAATATAGTTAATCATGTAATAGCTTTCTATGGTGACAGATGGTAACTATACTTACCATGGTAAGCATTTGATAATGCATATAATTGTTGAATCACTATCTTATACACCTGAAACTAGTATGTCAACTATATTTCAATTAAAAAATTTTAAAAAGCATTTTAGGAAATGCTTCATACAAAAGTTTCTTTGTCCTGGAGATATACAGTGCATGCGAGCATATTAAAGCTTCTGAGAAGTCTAATAGTATAGATATCTCATGAATTTGGTTTAACTAAGTATTTCCTGTTTCTCTTTCAATCACAATCTATTTTGACTATAATACTGCCTGGAATTAGTAGCCCATAAAAAGCCCTTTGGGGGAAAAAAGAGCCCTTTGGAAAATACAGCTATAATTGAAATCACCCAAATTTCCCTGAAGTCCAGACTTACCAAGCTTTCTAAGCTATGTGAACTTGTAGAGGTATACTTGCTTTGAGGGGTGCCTGGTTGGCTCAGTCTGTTAAATGACTGACTCTTGATTTTGGCTCATGATTTCAGGGTCATGAGATTGAGCCCCTTGTCAGGCTATGTGCTGGGTGTGGGGCTTGCTTAAGATTCTTTCTGTCCCTCTGCCCCTCCCACTCCTGCTCTCACGCTTTCACACACTTTCTTAAAAAAAACAAAAAACTTGCTTTGAGTCAGAAGATCAAGAAATCGTATTTTTCACTTAAATGTCTTATCACTACTTAGTTAATTGCATGTCCAGGAATTCAAAAGTTCAGTCAAGAATAGTTTGCAGTGGTTTATACTTGTAAGTATTATTCAATGTCTGCAAACTTGGCTTTATTGTTTTCAAACTTTATTCATTAATTGCCTTTTATTTATTTTTTTAGGGGAATATTGTTTAATCTTCTGGTAATTTTAATTAGTGAACCTCAGATTCCAAAATCTTATCCTGTGTTTGATATCCAGTTGGTGGCTGATTCAACTTTAGTTGAGATGTCTTTTGATGCTGAGGTGAGATGAGAATTTTGCGGTAGACTAAATACAACATATAAGGGTACCCTGGCTTCCTGTTTTCTAATGTGGACCATGACATTGTAGAATACAGAAATATAATTAAATCAAAGAGGAAATTTTGCCATTAACCTCAAAACTTAGATACCCATTATCAATATTAATACATCCATTTTAGGTACACCTGGGTGGCTCAGTGGTTGAGTGTCTCCCGGACTCTTGGGATCAATTCCTGCATTGGGCTCCTTGTGTGGAGCCTGCTTCTCCCTCTGCCCATGTCTCTGCCTCTCTCTCTCTCTGTCTCTCATGAATAAATAAAATCTTTAATACTAATAATATATCCATTTTATATGTTTTAAACTATGAATACTAAGGAAAATGATTAGTATTCAGTATGCATTAAATAAATCTGTTTATGTCTCTATACAAAATATTTATGTGTATGTAATTCTACATTAGGAGTCTAATAGTAAAAAACACTGTCTTTAAGAGATTTTAGGGTTAACTCTCTTGCTTTAGTTTACCATCCCTTTTATGTATCTAAGTAGTGCAAACTCAGTGAGAATTATTTTTTTTCCTAAGGTTTTACTAATACATTAGAAATATCAGACTACCAAAAAAGCACATATTCTGAGAATAAATCAGCTTATTAGTTTATTTTGAGCAGAACAACACAGAATTCTTTTAAAGGATAGGATATGATTAAATAGTTCTTTTTTAAAATTTTTTGATTAAATACTTCTTAAACATACAATTAGCATTATGTTTTAGAAAACTCTTAAATTTATGCATTCATTTAATAATATTTATTGTAACTCTATTATGAGCTAAACAGTATGGTAGGCAGTGGGGTCCAAACAAGAAGCAAAACAGACACAACCTCTGCCCTCATCGGTTTATAGTTTGGTTAGAGAGACAGGTCTTAATTAAACATAAAATGAAGATGAGAATATAATAGAATATTATAGATATTCACAAATATAATATTCATACATATGAATATTAGAGAAATATAGAAAAATTCATATTCATTCTGGTTGAGATGTTAATTAAACATAACACAAATATTCATATGTATGAATGGGCTAGAAGACATTGAGACCAGAAGACAGCCTCACTAACTGGAGTTCTTGAGAGAGACAGAGAGACAGAGAGAAAGAGAGAAAGAGAGAGAGAGAGAAGAAAATCTCTAAGCCCTATATTTACCCATGTTACAGAGGCAGTTGTAGTTCACGTTAGGCATAAGGCTAAATTAAATTTCCCAGAGAATTGCCCACCTTAAATTCTAGGGAGCATATTTCAATACTCTTGAAAGGATGTACATTTCTTGATCTGAATGATTTTGTAAATCAGTTTTTTTGTGCTTTTTTTGTGCAAATCAGTATTCTATGAGCCATTGTATCTTTTTTCCCTGACCCACTTTCTTAGACATTATTCAATGTGTAGTCTTTTTATGAAAGCCGTTTTTGGGTTTTTTTTTTTTAGAACGATTGAATCAAATAGAACAGGAAAACTGACCACACTCATTATATTTTCAGTTAACCAAAAATTCTTTTATAAGTACCTAAAGGTAAACAGAAGAAATGACTATTTTTTTTGGCCCTAACAATGATATCTTATTATTTAAAATTCTAGTTACAGAAGCTTATTGTGGAATATACAGATACAGCTACGGCACTTTTATATGAGATACTTCTTGTCTTTCAGCAGGTATAATATATATTTTATTATACATATTATACTGTGTGATTTTTTTATATATAACATGACTATTACATATCTATGATAATATATATGATTAATAATATACATTTACTATACTTGTATTAGAGATGATCTCCAAAATTGGCTGACTTAAATGATACTACATTTGCTCTTAAGTACTCGTCCAGTTTTCCTAAATACTGAATTACTTTTAATTTTTTCTAAATACTGATGATAAAGATTTCATTAATTAAGATAAATTGTATTTGAGAATGAATATCCTTTCATGCACAACTTGAACTTCATGAACATAACTTATTTCCTTGAGTCTTTTAGGGAAATCTTGGATTGGGATCAACAAAGTTTGCTATTAGCTGGATGATGTCCTTCCTACAAAGTCATCCTTCCATAGTAAGTACCAAGAAGCAAAAACAAAACCACCACTCACAGCTAAATAAACAGGTGCTCTTCTGCTTAATAAAACACAAATTTTCTCTATAAGGAGTCACATTTATAAAACAGAAGCAAAAGGTAAATCTGATCATTTTATTATTTAGTTTAAAAAAAGCATTTTGATATTTGGGGCCTGAGTGCTTAAGGTACTGAAATGAAAATTAAAAAAAATTTACTTATCTATATATCTACCTATCATCTATCTATCTATGTATCTGCCTATCATCTATTTATTTTGAGAGAGAGAAGAGCATTAGCAGGGGAAGGGGGGAGAGAGAGGGAGAGACAGAGAGAGAAAGAGAGAGAGAGAGAGAGAGAGAGAATCTTAGGGAAGCTCCATACTTAGTACAGAGCCTGACGCAGTGCTCAGTCTCATGTCCCTAAGATCACCACATAAGTTGAAATCAAGAGTCAGATGCTTAACCTACTGAGCCACCCAGGTACCCCCTGAAATGATATCTTAAATGTGATCCTTATTTCATGAAAAACCCTAAAATACATTCTGTAGGAAACAGAATATATTAAAATATTGGCTGTATAAGTAAGTGAAAAAATGAACATTTGTCTTTTTTTAAAAAAAAAGATTTATTTATTTATTTATTTATTTATTTATTTATTTATTTGAGAGGAAGAGAGAATGCAAGAGAATGAGTGAGAATGAGCAGGGGGCAGGGGCAGAGGAGAGGAAGAGATTCCTCAAGCAGAGTCCCCACTAAGCAGGGAGCCCTGAAGATGTGGGGTTGAATCACAGGATCCTGAGATCATGACCTGAGCTGAAATCAACTGCAGGCTGCTTAACCGACTGAGCGACCCAGGCGCCCCCTGAACATTTATCTTAAACAGGGAGTATGGATTGGGGAGTATGAATTAACACTTGGGATCATCGGAGCTCTCTGTCCTGGCAACTGCCATCCTAGTCCATAGTACCACTGTCTCCCTTCTTGACATTACAATCACGTCTACATGGTCTGTCCCTATCTTGCCACCAGACCAAAGGGCTTAAAAAAAATCTGATTATGTCATGCCTTGCTTTAAATCTCTCATAAAAAAGAGATGGCCTACATGGCTCATCTAGTCCCTCACTTTCCCAGCTATGTAACCCAACACCTCCAACTCCATTGCGGACTTTTACCAGTCCTTCTGTCTGTCTGAAATGCTTTTCCCTCCTTTTTCTACATTAACTCCTACTAATCCTAATCTTCAGTGCCCCTTCCTGAGACAGGGTAGGGGGATGATATTCTCACCTCTGACTAGATCACATTCCCCATTATTGGCACACATAGTCATAGCTTAGTGTCTTCCTCCTTCCCTCCATAGGACTTGTTACTGTTGCATTTTGCATTTGTTGGTGTTACTATTCAGTTCTTTTCTGTGGCAGCCATTAGTGCCATATATATTCTGGTTCTCCCTCGTTCCAGGCACATGGTAGGATTGTACTTCACTCCTCACTTGAAATTAGGTCTCTGTTCTTGCTTTCATCAACAGAATGTGAGCATAAGCAGCCTGTGTCACTTCTTGCCAGAAGGTTTTAGAGCAAGTGCATGCTTCTCTGCATCCTCTTGTCCTCCTGGTAGGGTAAGTGACAGCATTTCATACAGTCCTGAGTGACTACAATGAAGAGAACACCCTGTCAACCCATAAAGGACAAACAATGTGAGCAAGTAGTAAACCTTTGTTGTGTTAAGCAAAGCATCAACATTTTGTGAAGTTTGTTACCACAGTAATAACCTAGTCAGTCAAGACTGACACAGTATTGGGATGCCTGGGTGGCTCAGTGGTTAAGTGCCTGCCATCAACTCAGGGCGTGATCCTGGAGTCCCAGGATCGAGTCCCATGTCGGGCTCCCTGCATGGAGCCTGCTTCTCCCTCTGCCTATGTCTCTGCCTCTCTCTATCTGTGTCTCTTAGGAATAAATAAATAAAATCTTAAAAAAAGAAAAAAAGATCGACACAATTATCATTCTCCCCCAACGGATTCTAAGTGCCATGAATGTGGAAGCTATGCCTGTTATGGTAGGCAGATACTCAATAAAATATCTGCTGAATTAATTCCCTAAAAGTTTTATTCCTTAATGTCTTCTCATCTCCCCAAACTTAATTTTCCTTTATTCATTCATGTATTCATGCATTTGATCAAAATACATTTAATTGGAGATCTCTTCAAAAAGTAGTAAACCAAATTAAATTTTCATTGCTAATGGAGGATTTGATATAATATGTTCTCTTTCCATATACAAACATGCCTCTGTTGACCATCAGTGGTTACCTACTTTGGGGTATTTTCTATAGTTATACTAAATATGGCAGGTCCTTGTGACATATGTTTACAAAAATCTGGCTAGGGCCAGAGGGTACACAGTCAGCTGCCATATACAGAGACTGAGCCCATGGATGTGGCTTCTTTAGCAGCACGCAGAGGTTAACTAGTCTCTGGCCCGCTTCAAGGAGTATCATAAAGTTCTAGACATTCATAGCAACAGAAGCTTGTATGTGCAAGATGCAAGGCCCTTACTTTTTTCTGTGCAGTGGTTGCAGACCCTATCATCTGAAGTCTGGGGGTACTAAGGACTCCAAGCCACAGGGAAGTTTCTTTATCAACTTATAGGGTTGGTTCACCAAAGGAATTGAGTTGAGTATGAAGCCAGTCTGTGACCATAAAGTACACTAGGATGAAAAAAAGGTGGCAAAAGGACCACTAGTGTTGTGGAAAGCTTCAGTATTAACTCAGTTCTAGAGTATGGGTAGAAACAGGCCATTTGAGAGAAATATGCAAGCAAGAAAACTGTTGTGATCATTGAATCCACCTGCATGTTAGTCTGCTCTGGCTGATTCTTCTTTTACTTGGTTAGAACAAGATGCAGAAGAAGTTAAAATTTAATTCCCAAATGGTCATTGCTTTGTTCTACTGCTCCAGACTCTCCAACCTCAATCAGTGTTTGCCTGACACAGTATTTAGTCAGTATGTGTAAACAGATCTGGATTGGGGAAAATCCACTCCAAACCACCTGTCCTACTTAGGAAGGGCCAGTAGCAACATCAACAGAGAAGGCAACACATTTATTAATACTAATTTAATGGGCATGCAAAGGGACCTTCTGGTTAGAGCTTGAAAGGACACTAGAGCTCCCTTCTGGTTCTTTTTTTTTTTTTTTTTTTTTTTTTTTTAGGTTAAAACACCAAATTCCCTTCTGTTTTTATGGTAGCCTACATTTATGGATAGTTTGAAAATGTGCCCCCCCTTAAAAAAAAAAAAAGACTGGTGGAATCCATTGTTCTTAGTTTTTGTTATTTGGTTCTGTTTTTTGTGTTTTCTAAAGTAATCTCTACACTCAGTGTGGGGTTTTGAACTCACAACCCCAAGATCAAGAGTCACATGCGCTACCAACTGAGCCAGCCAGAAACCCCTTGGTTCTTTTGTTAATGACTTTTGTGTGTGAGAAGCAGCAACTCAGTAACATCACATTATTGCTACTGTTTCCATTTTAATTTCCTCCTCAGAAATGATAGCAGACATACTCTTGATGAAAACCCCAGTTAACAGTGGTATCAACATCACTTGCTTGTGTCAAGCCTGGTTTTCTTTGCTTTCTCACGTACTGTCTCTCAAGGTGATGTCTGAGGAACAAAGCCATTAGAATTGTTCATGGTAAATATGGAGGTGGGCTCAGGATTCCGCATGTTTATTGAGCTGCCCAGGTGATCTTTATGCATACTCAATTTTGAGAGCCACCGCCTTGGAGGAACCCTCTTGGAAAGTCACAGGATGTTTATCTCTGTGGGTCATTTGTTCTTTGCAGTAGAAGAGAAAAGAAATCATCTTCCCTCCTGGAGGAGGCCATAGACCTTTCCAAGCTCCCCTTCTATCCCCCACTCCTGCTTCCCATGTTCTCCATTTACAATGGAATCAAATCTCCTTGACAGTCAGAATTCGTGCTGATTCTGCTTAGAGGGGGGTGAATGGTAAACCCAATCGGCCTATGGTCTGGTGCTCTCTGAGTACCATTTCAGTGAGAAATAGTGCAAGAGTATTGGTTTAAGGATGGGGAGGACTTCAGCCTAGATTTAGTGAAGCCCCAGCTGAAATAGGTGCGTTATGGGTGGCATGTGGCCTACATATAACTGCTTTTTTTCCTGTGTAGATCACTTTCGTGGACAGTATTGTGAAACAAATGGTAAAAGGGCTTTCAGCTTCATTTCAGTTGCTAAGTCCCAGCCAAGCAGTTCTGTTGTATCAGCAATTTTACATCCTCAAGAGCTGCCTGCAGTACAGCAAGACTTTAGCTGAGTATATTAGGAATGAGTACAGAGAAGAATTCAGGTAAGAGACGTCTGAATCTAATCAGCAGCAAAAGCCACTCATTTCTGATTCTCATGCAGAACTGCAGCGTGGCCCAGTATTTAGAAGATGAAGTGAAGACGGGCGATTCTGTTTTTGTTTTTAATAATATTTCACTTTGATCCGCGGTAAGGTAGGGTTTGGGCGAGTTCTAAGAACCACTGCCATTTGAAGTGTATTCCCAGGCTAGAAAAGACTAATGAAACATCAAACTTCCTTTGAAGAACTGTTTCTCACTGTCTTTGTTGCAGCCAGCACCTCACAGAGGCTAGTAATGATTTTAACATGCTGTGAGTAATCAAGAGTTACAAACCCTACCGAAGGGGATGATGAATTAGGGATTGTGAATTTAACTGAAGCACTGGGGAAAAAAGAAAAAGAAAAGCAATTGATAAAAGGAGAAACAATTAATGAATGTGGTTATTATTTTTTGTTTCCTTCACCCCCTCTCTTACTCTGGAACAAAACAGTAAGGAAGAGCAGTAACAAGCACTGGTTTCATCAGCCAGCTTGTTCTGCACCTCAGGGGTTCCTGCTTCTATTTATAGGCTGGCGGCGGCTCAGCTCCGCATTAGCACCTATCAAGGAAAAAAACCCAGCTTGCGTCTGACTTAAGATGAAAAGGGTACAGCAGGCATTGCTTTGCCACCAGTTTGGGCACAGACATAAAAGAATGTGGAGGCATACATTATGGCCTTAGACTGGCTCTTTAAAAAATTTCAGCCCAATTTGTGGACTCTGTCTTTCCTCCATGTGGTTGGTTTTACACCATCGGTTCCACTCTGGCTTCTATAAAAGGGTTTTGTTTGGCCTGCTCTGAATTGGTCCACACAACCTAATTTTTTCCTCAGTTTTTTTTTTAACGTAAAATTCATATAGCACGAAATTCACTATTTTAAAGTGTGCAGTTCTGTCACTTGTAATCCATTTCACAATGTTGTGCAACCACTACCACCATCTAATTGCAGAACATTTTCATCACCCCCAAAGAAACCTGGTACCCATTAAGCAGTCACATGCCATGCTCCCCTCCCCCCAGCCCCTGGCAACCACTAATCCACTTCTCTCTCTGTGGATTTGCCTATTCTGGACATTTCACATTAATGGAATCATACAATACATGGCCTTCTGTGTCTGGCTCCTTTCACTTAGCATCACGTTTTCAAGGTGCGTGCATGTTGTGGCATGTATCACATGAACCAATTTTTAAATATTAGTTATGCACATTTAAAAATCAGAACAACTGCCAAAATGGTGTCAGAGTCCTGCATGACGATAGTTGGCAGGAGCTCACTAGCAGCTGCCTCTATGTACTCAGTGTGCCACAGCCTCCTCCCTATTCATACCTGACCTTCTTCCTAGTGGATTACCTGTGGGCATTTAGGTTTGTGATCCTTGTTTTAAAATCCCGATTTTCAGTCTGCGTGCATTAGAATCACTGGAGTAACTATGAAAAAAAAAATACTGATACCCAGGTCTCACCTGGAGCACCTTTGTTCAGTTCATCGGTGGTGGGGCCTGGGTACTGAGGTTTAAAATACTCACCAGGTGATTCTAATGTGAGAGCCTATCTCCTAAGCTGTCGGGGGAGGGCTTAAGGTTTTCTCATTTTTGTTTCTTCCCCTGGCCTTTCCCAAATTTTTACTAAGGCCATGGGGATGAGCCCTACCCTTCACAACTTGACTCTTTCATTTCAACTTCCTGTGTATTACCCAAGCAAACAAGAATCAGGAGCCTCAGCCCATGCGGTGGTGGGGACAGTCCTGGCTTCCCTATTAATGTCTTGATAACGGATACATTATTAATGAAATTCACTTCCTTTGCTGTAGGAAAGTGTCTCAAAGAGCTGAAAGGCTCACATAACAGAGATCTCCTAGGTCACCCAACCTAGAGATCAGATGACTGAAAATACTAGCTGTATCCTGTGGCTTAGATCCCCATATCCAACAGCCCTATGCCAGTGAGTGTCTATAAACTGATGTGACCAATGTTAAATTCTTGTTTTTAAAGCTATTTTGTTTCTTTTTATGATTTGCAGGTACTTTATTCACATGCCAGCCTTGGAAAAAAGGCTCCCATTGTGGTACCCTCTTACCCAACCTACCATTCAACTTTTTCATGAAGTTCTGAAATTAGTTGAACAGAAACAATGTGTGAAATATTAGTCTAAAATGTTAACCAGGAGTCAACCTAGTATTTATGAGTCAACTTGTTTCATTTGTTTAATATCTAGCTATCTAGCTATCCCTGTGTCTTATAAACAGACTTTATTTGAATGTTCTAACAATATCTGTAAGAGAAGTCCTTAAAGTTTTTTTATCCATGAAAAAGAAACTTTACATACACTGACATATGTAAAGTGGTGCTAAAAATGAGCATTTCTCTAAAAATAAGTTTCGAAAAAAAAAAAAAACTACAAAGGGAACAGAAGCCCATGGAAAGCAAATGTATAAAGTGTAACCTGATGAGTTTTGCTGGTGTAACAATGGTAAGTGGTATGAGGCCACTGTAATGTCCAAAGATAAACTGTAGGGAGTAGAATTTTTTTTTTTTAAAGATTCTATTTCTTCATGAGAGAGGCAGACACAGGCAGAGGGAGAAGCAGGCTCTCCGTGGGAGCCTGATGCGTGACCAGGATCCCAGGACCCCAGGACTACAACTTGAGTGGAAGGCAGATGCTCAACCACTGCCACCCTGGCATCCCAGGGATAGAAATTACAGAGTGATCACTAGAGAAATGCTGAGCAAGAAGTAGTTGCCCTTTTTTTCCACCTGTCAAAATTATAGTGAAATAAGTATTCATAGGAGAATGAGCAGAACACAGGCATAGGTATAAGAAAGGTCAGATCTTCATTTATTATGAGGAAGGAAGCTTGGACTTTCTTCAACACAATTAAGTACATTCTAGTGCTCAGTTTCAGGCACCTGTGGACTGGTGCAAGCAGTCTCAGTGATAGAGAAATTGTAAGCAGTTATGGCTCTCCCAACAATCAAAAAAAAAAAGTCTTCACTCTATTTTATGGCAATAAACTAATCCAACAAAAACTTCACTTTGGTGTCACTGTGAGCTATTGAATTTGGGCTAAGAACTTAGAAAGTGGGTCCTCTATTTGATTAGCATGACTTGAAGGAGGAGGAGAGAAAAACCCAAAGAAAGAGCTCCCAAACCAGATGCACTCATACTGGAGAGAGGATTAAATTCACTTATGACATTTTATTACTGGTTGTGGCTGAGCCATTAACCAGCTACTGGACCTCAAACAGCCTACTCTGCTCTGTGGAAGGGTGGGACGAGATGTTCTGCAAGCTCTTGTCCAGCTCTAACATGCTCTACCTGTGACCAGACACTTCTTAATGCTCTGTGGTGGGGGAGTGCATTCCTCTGCTATCCTGGCTCAGTGGGTGATTTCACATGGATTCCAAATAATCCTGCTTTCTTCAGACCAAACATTTCTGTTTCAGCTCTCACCCCAAAAAGTGTCCAAGCCTTCTCCACTATCACCCATCAAGGACTACAAGTCTTCTAGTAGTTTCCAATGTGGGGGAGAGATGGGGGGAGTAGAATGGTGTTTATGAATGTCCTGGGCTGTCAGATGAGGGACTGCTCCCAGGAGATGGTCAATCAGAAGCATATGAAAAGAATCTTGGGATAAAGGCAACAATACTTCAAACTGCACTAATGATGGACAGTGGGGTGACCACTGATGAATGGTGGAACCTACGGAATGACAAGAGGGTCAAGTCTCTGCCTCAGCTTCTAAACAGTGCCCTGGCTCTGGGCTAGTAGCAGTGCCAGCTCCAGAGAGGGCATGGGCTTCCTCTCACATGCCTTAGGTGCGTGATGCCTCTTCTCTCCCACTGTTTTCTTTTCTCTGAGACCATACTTTATCTAATCTGTGGGAGCAAAAGCTCTGTCAGAATGCATCTGAATCTTTCCACGCAGGGTTACATTACTGGCATTCTTGAAAGCTAATGCTTGAAGATTTGTCATCTTGATTTTTTTTTAAAGATTTTATTTATTTATTCATGAGAGATGCACAAACAAGCAGAAACACAGGAGAGGAAAAAGCAGGCTCCATGCAGGGAGGCTGATGCAGGACTTAATCCCAGGACTCTAGGATCACGCCCTGAGCAGATGCTTAACCACTGAGCCACCCAGGCGTCCCCATCTTGATTTTCTTATGGCATTTGTCTATTTGTTTGCAGTGTGGGAGGGGAACCCTAAAATTAACACTTTAAAGGGTTATCCTGCTACAGTTCTTTCCTACTCTTTTTTACAGCGTTGCCAAACCCAAGAAAATCACTAAATAACCCGTCTCTCTTAGTGATCAGACACAACTGATTTTTTTTAAAGATTTTATTTATTCACGATAGACACACAAACACACACACACACACACACACACAGAGAGAGAGAGAGAGAGAGAGAGAGAGAGAGAGAGAGAGAGAGAGGCAGAGACACAGGCAGAGGGAGAAGCAGGCTCCATGAAGGGAGCCCGACGTGGGACTCGATCCCAGGACTCCAGCATCACGCCCTGAGCCAAAGGCAGCACTAAACTGCTGAGCCACCCAGGGATCCCTGACACATCTGATTGACTAAGTATTGACTTCAACTACAAAATAGTTACTTTTAGGAAATTTAACTGTGGAAAAATTTTGAATATGAAAATTACATATACTTTTTTTATAAGAACAAAGTATCACCAAAATAGGAAGCACATATAGCTAGTTTTCAGGATGGGCTGAAGATTCCAGACTCCTTGACCATTTTTATAATATATAAGCATTGCCATTTACCATCTGCACTAAAAGTAAACTCATGGTAATAAGCTCTACCAAGATATATATATATATATATATATATATATATATATATATATATACATACATATATATAATATATACATATCTCTTCCAATTATAGCTGTCCAAACCTCCAGCACCTACTGCAACAGTGACCCCTTGACCCCTACAGTCCTTTCTCTGGGGTGAGAGTGATCTTTTGAACAAGAAAATCAATATATTTATAATTTAAAACATTCCCATTACCCTGGATGAGATCCAAAGTCCTTACCATGGCTTTCAGGGCCCTTCATGACCTAGCCTCTATTTCCATGACCTAAGCCAATCATTCTCCTCACTTACTACACCCCAAACACAATGGCCTTTGTGGCGTTCCTTTGAATCCCCAAATTCCTGGAAACTTGCACTAGCAAATGCCTTCCCGAAGATCTTCAAGTGTCACTTCAAAGAGGGCTTCTTTGATCATTCCAAAGCAGCCTCCCACCCACGGACATCACATTATAGTGCATTTGTTTACCTGGTTATTCTTTGCAATGTAAGAACTTAAGAATGTAAGCTCCATGAGGGTCTGGCCTTGGTTTGTCTTTTCAATACTGAAACTAACACCAGGCGTACTGCCTGGCACAGTGTTGCTTGTGCCCTGAGTGAAGGAAGGGACTCAGGGAATGGTAGGAGTCCAGAGGGAGGAGCACCAGCTCCAGTTGTCACTTCACAGCAAACTCATGAGAGACCTGAGTAAGGCCTATATAAGAACCACTTGGCAAATCCACAGAATTGTGAGATATAATAAAGGACTGGGTTTCTCCACACTTTTTAGGTATAACTGACAGTACTCTAAGTTATTTATAAGTGTACCATGTGACGATGTCATCTGCCTATACATTACAAAAAGATTTCCCCCCATCCATCTGCTACTATATTCACCTTTTGGTGAATATTAAAAAAAATTTATTTATTTAATCATGAGAGCTCCAGAGAGAGACTAAGAGACACAGGCAGAGGAGAAGCAGGCTCCGTGCAGGGAGCCCGACGTGGGACTTGATCCCAGGTCTCTAGGATCACACCCTGGGCTGAAGGCAGCGCTAAACCCCTGAGCCATCCGGGCTGCCTGAAATTTTTGTTTGTTTGTTTGCTTTGTGAGAACATTTAAGTTCTACTTTCCTAGCAAGTTTCAATTACATAATAGGGTATTATCAACTATAGTCACCATGTTTTACATTAGATTTTCAAACCTTCTTCATTTTAAAACTGAAAGCTGTACCCTTGAAAGTACAGAGGTAGCAACCTCTCCCTATTTCCCCTGCACCCTAGCCACTGGTAACTACTTTTTACTCTGTTTCTATGAGCTCAACTTTTTTTTGTGTTGTTTTTAAATAAAAGGTTGTTTCAAGTTTCTACGTTTTAGATTTTTTAAATTTATTTTTTCAAACCCAAAGTATTTTATTCTTGTATTTATTTGAGAGAGAGAGCATGCATAAGCAGGAGGAACAGCAGAGGCCTAGGGAGAATCAGGCTCCTCACGGAGCAGGGAGCCCGGTGAGGGCTTGGATCATGACCCGAACCGAAGGTAGCTGCTTAACCAAATGAGCCACCCACACGCTCCCAGAAACATTATTTTCAAATGGGATACATGATGCAGAGAAAAATTTAAATATAAATATTTAGGTGGTATTAGGTACCCTACCCAATCTCACAAATCTTCAGTTGTTATGAATTAATCTAACCCTTGCCATTTTACCAAAGTTCAACAGAAAAATAATGAAGCTTACCTTCACAGGAAAGACTCTATTTATCTTTCCAATATTTCCTGTTTTCTTTTCCTACAAGAATGATAGAGAAAAAAAAATTCATATCACAGTGTGATGCTGTTGGTGTGTATAAAAAAAACCCTCGATAGCACTTTTTTTCCTGGCCAGCTTCTAAGTTTCTCCTGCTCTCCAGGGTGATTTATTAAATTGCAGTAGATACAGGTGCCTGGCTGGCTCAGGTGGCTCAGTCAGTGTCTGCCTTCGGCTCAAGTCTCTGGAGTGCAGGGATTGAAGCCCTTGTCAGGCTTCCAGCTCAGCGGGGAGACTGCTTTTCCCTCTCCCTCTGACTGCCACTCCCCCTCTTGTGCTTTCTCTCTGGGTCAGATAAATAAAATCTTAAAAAAAAAAAAAGAAAAGCAATAGATAAATGAAACAATCAAAAATATTTTCATTTATTTTAAATAAAATTATACATTTGCAATGTCAGGGTAATTCCAAATTAATTAATTCGCCACCGTCAGGACTCAGCTGAAGTGTTTCACTTGTCTGTATGTTCTTGCTATTTTTCCTACTTAGTTAAAATCATATAAATTTCCCCTTTTGTCACTATAAATGGATTCAATAATACTCCAAAGAGTTCTTCTAATCCCTTTAAAAGAGGATTACTATCTGTCCAGACACAGCAGAGTCCACTTCGCCACTGTCCCTTACCAGGGAGGGGCCCTCGGATTCTCACGTAAGTGCTGATGGTATGATATGTACCAGGTAGATCCAGACTATGTCTTCCCTCCACCCTTCCTCTTCCAGCCAGCGCCTAGAAGGGCCTGGTGAGGAAAGGTTTTCAAGCATGGAGGAGACAAGGTGTTTGAAGGTTTATTGGTTAGATACCAGAGATTTCTGGGTTTGGGGAAACCTTGAGTCAAAGAAATTCCTTTTCTTTCCATTTTGTTCTAGTCTGCTTTTCCCTTCTTGTTGCCTTCTACTTGGAAGGTGACTCTGACCCTGAGGAAGTAAGAGGGGCTCTGGGTAAAAGAAGGCAAAAGGCAAAAAGGCAAAAGAAAAGGAAGCAGGATTATATGCCCCAAGATTCTTGAAAGAGGCAAAGAGGACCTCTAAGTGTCCTTCTAGGTGGCCCACTCCTCTGAAGGCTCCAGGAGGGGTGTGGGGTTTCAGAGTGGAAGTTATGCCCATAAGCAAAGACGTTGGAATTGACCAAAGTATTAAATCACTTCAGTCCTCTTTTGACTCCTGAAAATGATGGGGACAGGGTAATGGTGGCATTGGCAGTGACTGAGGATATGGTGATCTGTTTGGTCAGTGAGGAAGGCAGTGGAGGACGGAGGAGATTGTAGATCAAGTGACACAGGGCCACTGTGGGTTTCTGTGGGATATCCTGCAAGAACCGCCATTGTGTATTACATTGTTTCTACAGGGAAATTATTCTGTCTGCTGTACAGCTGACCTACAAGCCAATGTGAAAGGGACACATTTATAAAGGTAGTATTTTACTTCTGTTAGCAACTATAACCACCAGAGGGCATAATAGGGTTAGGAAGACAAAGAAAGAAAAAAAAAAAAAAAGAAAGAAAAGCAAAACTTTGCACTTAGCAGGAGAATTGACTCAAACTTTTAAAATTCCCGTGGACCTTCAAAATTAAATTTTTTTTGTTGTCACACTTCTTTAATATGTACTAACGTAAACCTAGCTGTAAGAAAACTTCTTATGCTTATTAACGCAAATTTATGATTGAAAATTTTATAAAATTAAATACAAATTACTATCATTAATGTAACATATGCTGTTTTGCTGAACCTCCATCTCCTCTTGCAAAATGCATACGGTAAAATGTACAACATAGCCTCTTGAGTTCTGTATCCTTTTTTTTTTTTTTTGAGATTTTATTTATTTATTGATGAGAGACACAGAGGGAGGTAGAGACATAGGAAGAGAGAGAAGCAGGCTCCATGCAGGGAGCCTGATGTGGGACTCAATCCCAGGACCCCGGGAACACAACCTGAGCCAAAGGCAGACGCTCAACCAACTGAGCCCCCCAGGTACCCCAAGTTCAGTATCCTATCATGTTTCACTCTTCTCTTTCAGAATTACTACAGGTCATTCTTTACAGGCCATGCTATCCTTTACTTGGCTTGGCTTGAACATTTCCCTACCTGTAAGTGAAGCCTGCTTCTGTTCTCTTTTTTGGCCAGGGACAATGAGAGTTTTTCCACTTAGGGGACAAACAATGGATCAGTATAAACAATGCAAACACAGGCATCTCACTAAAATGAAAACAAAATGTTAAATTCTCTAAGAAACCCTAAAGACTTTCCAGTGGAAAATTAGTCTCCAATGTGAAAGGGTCTCCTGTAGAGGTTAAGCAACTGTTTCAAGTATAGTGACTTAACATCATGGTTTCCCTGGGTGATTTATGCCTTTTTCTTCCCAGTACCCCCTATTTCATTTATAAAAGTGTCCTGGTTATAAGCTAGTCCTGGCAAGGAGTTTTAAAATCAGCAAAGACCTGTGCCTTCGTAGGAATTAGGAAACAAAGATGTTAAAGCCATATATAGAAGCTTCAAAGGTTTCCCCCAGAGGCTCATCTAGTCCAGTATTGGGGGTTAAACCAAACTTCAGACATATTTTATCTCCTTTTATGACTCAGAGGCCTTAGGGGTCCCCACTGCTCCCCACTCTTCCAAAATACCACCTCAAAAAGCAGGCAATAAGAAAGGGAATAAAGTGAAAGATTTTATCACAATTAGGTTCCTCTGATATCTGAGAGCATATAAGGTCATTTGAGGGTAGAAGGAGCGAAACTTCTGAAAGAGTCACTTTTGCTCAGAAACGTTGGAGGATAGGACAGGAGTTTTGAAACTCTATGACATAATTTGGCTAACATCGTGCATTGGGTTTTACAAAGTGATTCCTCATTGCCAAGTCTCAAGACTAAATTCAGTTGCCAATGTGACTTCAGATGGTTTAGTGTTAACAATAATGAAAAGATGCCACAAAATAGTGAATTTTAAGGAGACCAAGAAATATTTCTCTAAAACATAAAGTATGCTGAGCCTAAGAGACAGTGTGTGTGTAGTGGACCAGATCCAAGAACTAAAGTGATCCACAAACTGAAATTTGTTGAGATTGGTCTGTTGAAGTGATGCTGATGAGAACATCCTGGCAAGCTGGAGTCCTCATTCCTTCAGAACGGGACTATCACTAGCATTATTTCATACTTCATCAAGCCCCAACTGGGGCAACGTCTCATAATGGACAGGAAAAGGAGAGGGGGAAAAAGCACCATCTGTCCCTAGCACATGTGCCAGGGACAATCAATGTGGGCAAAATCTCGAGTGGTCTGTGAAAGGTTTAGGAGGTTCCACATAATTTTCAAGGATCTCATCCCAGAGAGAAATCAATTCAATTCAATAAGCATCTTTTCTGAGTTAGTTTGGTACAATAATAAATAAAATTGGGTCCCTGTTCTAACAAGCTAACTTTTCTAAGCTAAATGGTTTGAGTACAATCTTCAAAATTTTTGCTATATCATCTGTATTTTTATCTACTAGTTTTCTAACATTATTATTTACTGAATAATTTTCTACTATATCTACCTGCTTTAGCCATGTCCTGAAGGACATTTGGGAAACCATGCAGTTGATGTTCTAGATATAGATTTTTAAATTCTTGTGTGTACATATATTTCTAATGTACACTTTTAAATATACAGTTTTTAAATTTTTATGTCTTTTTCTTAGAATACCTAAAATAACCTTTGCGCCCCACTATGAGAACGCCAATAGTAAGGAATACTCAAAATATTTCACAAGGGCAGAATAGGTCAGGTGACAGGGACACAAAAAAATTGTTATAGGAAATCATAGGAAGAAGAACTTAATTTTGATGAGGTGCATCAAAGAGGCCTATTTAGAAGATTTTGCATTTGAGGAGGTTTTAAAGATATCTAACTCTGTAATAATTTTTAACAGTACAGAACATGGAAAATGGTAAGATCTGACAAAGCTCGGTGGTTGATGAGTGCAGATACTCCTATATTATTCTCTTTACTTCTCTGTAGGCTTGAAACATCTCACAATAACAGTAATAAAGTGTATCTAGAATTTGGAGAAGAGAAAAGCATTCCACATAGAAGAGAAAGTATAAATGAAAGCACAGAATTCCGGGGGCACCTGGGTGGCTCAGCTGGATAAGAGTCAGACTTTTGGTCTCAGTTCAGGTCTTGATCTCAGGGTCATGAGTTCAAGCCCCATGTTGGTCTACACTGGGCATGGAGAGGGAGGAAGGGAGGAAGGAAGGAACAGAGGGAGGGAGGAAGGGAGCGAGGGAGGAATCCTGAAATTCGGGCTGGGTGATCTAGTTCTATCAAAGCTGAGTGTTGGGATACTCAAGTGGCTCAGTTGGTTGAGCCTCCGACTCTCGGTTTTGGCTCAGGTCATGATCTTGGGGTCATGAGGAGACCGGAGTTGGGCTCCTAGCTTGGCAGGCAGTCTGCTTGTCTTCTCCCCCTGCCCCTTCCCTGGTCATGCATACTTGTGCTTTCTCTCTCAAATAAATAAATAAATCTTAAAAAAAAGAAAAAGAAAGAAAGAAAGAAAAGAAAGGAGAAAGAAAGAAAGAGAGAGAGAGAGAGAGAGAGAGAGAGAGAGAAAGAAAGAAAGAAAGAAAGAAAGAAAGAAAGAAAGAAAGAAAGAGTGAGTGCTATAAGATGCTGTCATATCATGGTCCTAAGAGAGTTTGTGGGTGTGGGAGACTCTCAGACGATTCTGATAAACAGTATAATATCAGAGCAGCAGATCAGGAATAGAATTCTGGGAGAAATTTGTAAGATGGGGAGAGCCCAGATTTTGAAAGATCTTATAATAATGATTCAGGGGACAATACCTGATTTGTTTCCTCTCATTTTGCCAGCTTGCATTCTATTTTTACTAAGGAAAAAAAAATCCAGGGCTCCTGGCTGATTCAATCAGTAGAGCATGTGACTCTTGATCTCAGGTTGTGAGCTTCTGAACCCAATACTGGGTGGGGAGCCTACCTGAAAGAGAGAGAGAGAAAATTCATTCCCACTGGGCATATTTCCTCCTTCCTACCCCAGAGCCTCTGGTCTCATCCAACTATACTGAAGACCAGGGGTTGGTAAACTCTCCCTGTAAATGGTCAGATAGTAAATATTTTAGGCTTTGCAGGCCGTACAGCCACTGTTGTAATGACTTAATTCCATTGTAGTGAGAAAAGCAGCCATAGACAATACATAATGAGATATGGACAACACAATTTTATTGATAGAGACTGAAATTTAAATTTTAGATTATTTATAGATACTGTAATTTAAATTTCAGATAATTTTCAGGTATTATGAAATATTTTTCTCAACATTTAAAATCCATTTTTAGTTTTTAGACTATATAAAAAATTGGCATCAGATTAGAGAAATGCAAAACAAAACCACAATGAGATACCTTTTCTCACCCCCTAGATGACTTTATAAAAAAGGTAACAGCAATTCTTGGCAAAATTGGAACCCTCACACTTTACTGGTGAGAATACAAAATGTCACAGTAGCTGTGGAAAACAGCCTGGCAGTTCCTTAAGAGGTTAAACATAGAGTTATCCTATGATCCAGCAATTCCACCCCTAGCTGTATACACAAGGGAAATGAAAACATATATTCACACAAAATATCATAACAAACGTTTATGGTAGCATTACTCATAACCAAAATGTGAAAACGGCCATATAATGAATTATTTGGCAATAAAAAGAAACGAGGTATCAATGTGCTACAACATGGCTAAGTCCTGAAAACATGCTAAGTAAAAGAAATCAGTCGTAGAAGACCACACTTTTCTTTGCACATATTTTTTTAATTTCTGCTTTCATCCATATGCAATTAAAATCTGTAAACAAATTCTTCAATCCATTATAAAGCATATCTTTTCCAATCATTCCTATATCACATGTTGCTACTCGAGTGGCTTGTCCATTGTCTGAAGATGATTGTTCCTCATTACATCACTGACCATAGCCTGGGGAAATAGGTCCTGCAAATATGATGCTCAGGCAGTAATAAATGGACATACGGTGGCATATGCTGACACCTCAGCATCAGGAAGGCTGCTGTGATGATAGCCAGCCTCTGGATCCTGGAGTTGGAAGGCCTTTGAACAAACACTTGGTTCAATTCCTTCTTTTTCAGTGAGGAAGCCCAGGGAGAGGAACTGACCTCACACATGGTATGATTTCATTTACAAGAAATGTCAGAATGGGCAAATCTATACGGAAAAAACTAGATTAGTGATTAATTACATTTGGAGGAGTGATTGCTCATGGGTGTTAGATTTTCTGGTGTGATAAAAATGTCACAAAATTAACTGGTGATGGTAGCACAACTCAGTAAATAGACTAAAAACTAATGAAATGTATACTTTAAAAGGGGGAATTGTATGATATGTGACTGATATCTCAATAAAGCTGTTAAAGAATAAATAGTAACAGGCTACAGGCTAGTTGGTCCTTGCCAGCCTCTACTGTAGATACCAGATAAACTGGTTCCTCTCAGAAGTTTACTAGTGGATTCAGCTATGTAAACTTGGAAAATTCAATTGAAAAGAGCTGGAAGAGGACTGTGGTCAGATGGGCCTTTGTTGTTGGGACTTGCTGGTGAGGAGGTCTAGATGTCATACAGATGTGTGATGTAAGCAACGATAAACTCCCGTTGACCTGGTGGTTTGTAATTAAAGCCAGGAACTCAGCCCATATGCTCAGATACACCCAGATCCATGTTTCCAGTAGTGGGTTCCTGCATGGACACCAGGCTGTGAAGATCTTCATCAGTCCCAGCCAAGTTCCCTAGGGAAGCAATCATTTTGTCTCTCTTCTTTTAGACCAGCTGGCTAGTTAGCTGAAATTCCTCAATCTAAATTTTTCTTCTTACTTAAAAGAATTTTTTTTTTTTTTAAATAAGAGGGGAACTTGGCTGGCTCAGTCGGTGGAGCATGTGACTTTTGATGGTGGGGTTGTGAGTACAAGCCCCACGTTGGGTGCAGAGATTACTTAAAAATAACATCTTTAAAAAAATTTAAAAATATATAAAATGAAACAAAAACTGGGGAAAGCTTGATTGGAGGAGCACTTATTGTAGGAATGACGCTTTTAAGAGCCTAGGAAAGTTGTAATCCAGGAAAGTACCTATGCACTGGTCAGAATAAAGACTGTCCCAAATTTTGTGAAGGACAATCTTCTACACTTCTTTGTATCTTTTGTCTTAAATTCTTAGAATCTCCCAAATCTTCTTCAGGAAGGCTAAAAATTTTAGGAAATAAAGCACATAGCAGAGTTTCTGCTTTCAAGAGGGAAGTATCTCAAATGACTTCCAGACTCAATTTTGGGATAATCTGTGCTCCATTTCCTCTCTCTTTATGCCTTGCAGGTGGTGATAGATAATTTAAAAAAAGAATTGGAAGAGAATCTTTGGTTTTATCATTATGTGTCAAGAAGAGGTCATCTGTAGAAAGAAGCATTTAATATTATGCAGAAAGCACAGCCCCAAGAGTCTTTATGAAGACCTTTGTCTCATACCCAAATGGATGAATAAATGGAACTGACACCTTTCAATAATGTAGACAAGGAAGGAAGGAATGATCAGTGAAGAATTTAATGGTGTATACATACTTAAGGAAAAATACTCAGAAGATTAGGAAATTTAATGATGCTAATGATGTCACTAAAAGAACCAAACAAGGTCCATGATCATTTAAAACACAAAAGCTTCAAATCAAATGCTTCAATCTCCTAAGAATTAACTAGAAAGGATATGTTGACAAAGATACATTTCCTTTTTTTTTTTTTTAAGATTTTATTTACTTATTCATGAGAGACACAGAGTAAGGCAGAGAGAGAGGCAGAGACAGGAGGAGCAGGCTCCATGCAAGGAGCCCGATATTAGACTCGATCCCGGGACTCCAGGATCACGCCCTGAGCTGCAGGCAGATGCTCAACCACTGAGCCACCCAGCGTCCCGACAAAGATACATTTTCAATCTAGTTCTGGAGCTCAAATAATGTTAATATATGAGAATGACATTTTTATTTTATTCAGAAAAATGATAAAAAATGTTTGCTGGAGTTCATAGTACAGCATTAGTAAAACTGATTAAATTATTTCAGCAATTTGTTCTTGAGTATCAACTATGTGCTAATCACTGTAAAGAATAAGACCCAGTGCCCATCTTCAAGAAGCTTACTATATAGCAAGAGGAATCAGTTCACCACAGAAATAAATACAACAAAAGGTGGTTGATAATAAATGACCAGGAGATTCAAAGATTTGTGAATTACAGGGAGAAAAGGCTTTTCTCTTTTTGAAGTAATTGGTAAAATTTTCATGAAGTGGCATTTGAGATGAGAAACAGCAACATTTTCATAGTCTAGGATATGAGAGAAGAGCATTCTAGGCAGTAGTACGGCAACCACAAACGTACAGAAGTGGGAAAGCAGGAGAGGTTTCTGGAAAATGGAACAGCTGTTTTACCAGAGTGTAAACTACTATATATATATATATATACACACATTATATACACACTATATACATATATATATGAAATATAATTGGAAAAGCAGGTAGGAGTCACACTATGAAGAGGTTTTCATTCATTCACTCATTCATTCATTCATTCAACTTTCACTGAGCACCTGTGCCTAGCACTGCGCTAAACACACTGGCAAAAAAATCGAGAGGAGACTTAAATGCTATAACTACATCAGTTGTGTATTCGTTGACTTTCAAACTAGGGCCCTAACCATTCCTTTAATAAAATGAAGTCCCATTATTTGTCTGCTCCCCAAATTTCATACGGAGTTAGTCCAGTTTATCAACAGTGGTGATCTGAATCTATGTAAATAAACAGAAACGCCTTTTTCCGTCTCACAGGGGTTCAAGAGTAATGTGAGGAAAAATGAAACACATTTGCAACCAATTATACTTTCAAGTTACACTCTAGTTTCAAGGACTGAGGTAAAATTCCTTAGCAGTTTTAGAAGGATTTAACCTGTTTCTCTCTGGGAATAGTGAAAAGCTGCAGCTGTTCCAGAGGAGGCTGGTCCTGCTCAGTCTGTCCCAGAGAGGGCAATGGCATTATGGTTACCACGCCTCTGTGGCTGACCCACCAAACTCGTCAAATGTGGGCTTTATCAACAGAAAGCTACTGCTAAAGAATTCCAGAGACAAATTCTTGCAGCTGATTTCTGTCTTGAACATGATTAGAATATCAATCAGTAAACTGAAGGCGGCACACTTTGAAGATCTGTTGAAACTGTAGGAACTCAGATTTTATTTTTTAAAATGATTTTATTTATTTGAAAGAGAGTGAGAGAGAGAAATCTTGAGTGGGAGAAGGGCAGAAGGAGCAGCAGACCACCGCCTCCACCAGCAGGGATCCCGATGCAGGGATTGATCCCCTGGGATCATGACCTGAGCTGAGGGCAGATGCTTAACCAACTGAGCCCCCAGGTGTCCCAGAACTCATATTTTAAAGTAGCAAACATGGGTTTGCTATTAAAATAAAGAGGGTGTGTCTATAGTTACAAATTTTTAAAAGAAAACGTGAAATAAAAAAACATTAAGAGTAAAAATGGAACTGAAATGGAGAGCAATTATACAGATGACAATTGAAATGTAGGAATGTATTAGAGAAAAGGCTATAGTAAAAGATTATCATTAATTCAAGGGACCATAATGAGGAGACTTCCCAGGCTGCATGTGAATTGGCTATAAGGTGAGGTTAGGGGCTTAAAAGCCTTCTTGGTTTGAAGCCAGAATCGGTGGAGCTCCTTGTCCTCAGGGTAGTCACCCAGGTCTAATATTAAACACTGCAGGAACTGCTGCCAAAGTTGTGTTTGTACCAGGAAACAGTGCTGCATGCAAGTCCTACACGAAGCTCCCAGACTTGAATGCCCTCAACGCTTCTACCCACACTCCCATGTTAGCCTTCCAATACTACAGTATCTGAGAATACCTAATCACCGTCCTTTCATCCTC